TTCTACTAAGATCATAAAAAAGCCTAAGACAATCTCAGACACATATTAGGTAAGTCAATATAAAACTAACTAAATATACAAAAAAAAATCTATATGAGGGAAACTATCAGACTTTGATAAATCTAAGAAGAACTAAATAAATGGAATATATTTCATGTTCATGGACAGGAAGATTCAATATTGTCTGGATGTCAGCTCTTCCAGACGTGAAATACAGATCTCATAAAATTCCAATCAAAATTCCAGCAAGCTACTTTAGATATTGACAAATTGATTCTAGAATATACAGAGAGTGGCAAAAGATCCAGAATAGCCAATGTAATATTGAAAATCAAGATCAACGTTGAAGGATTGACACTACCAAATTTCAAGGCATATACTCTAAAGCTAGTCATTAAGACAGTGCGATGTTGGGGAAAAAAAAAGACAAATAGATCAATGGAACAGAAGAGAAGGCCTAGAAGTAGGCCCACAAAAATAGTCGGCTAATCTTTGATCAAGGAGCAAAAAAATACAATGGAGTAAATATGGTCTTTTCAACAAATGATACTGGGAAAACTGGACATCCACATGCGAAACAAAAAACAGAAAGAAGTGAGACAGAAATCTTAGACCCTTTGCAAAAAAATAATTCAAAGTGGAACACAGCCCCAATTGTAAAACACGATAATATAAGAACTCCTAGATGATAACATAGTACAAGGCCTAGATGACCTTTGCTTTGGCAATGACTTCTTAGATTCTATGGCAAACGCATGATCCATGAAAGAAACAATTGATAAACTGGACTTTATTAAATTAAAATTTTCTGCTCTATGAAAGACATTCTCAAAAGCGTGAAAAGACAAACCAAAAACTGGACACAAATATTTGCAGACAGCGTATCAGATAAAAGATGCTAATCAAAATATGTAAAGAACTGTTAAAACTCAATGATATCAAAACAAAAATTCCAATTAAAAATGAGCCAGACACCTTAACAGACACCCTACCAAAGAATATATACAGATGAAAATAAGCATATGAAAATATGCCCCACATTGTATATCATCAGGTAAATACAAACAACAATGAGATACTACTATACATCTATTAGAGTGGTCCAAATCAAGAACGTGGACAACAATAGATACTGGTGACATCGTGGAGCAAAAGCAACTTTCATTCATTGGTGATTAAAATCAAAGTTCCACAATTGCTTTGGAAGATAGTTTGGCAGTTTGTAAAATCTAAACATAGTTTTACGATATGAACTAGCAATCACACACATGGTATTATCCAAAAAAGTTGAAAACTTATGTCTACTCAGAATTCTGTATATGGATGTTTAGAACAGTTTTGTTTATAACTTCTAAAACATGGAAGCAACCATGAGGCCTGTCTGTAGATGAATGGATCGATAAATTTTGTACATTCAGAAAATTGAATATCATTTAGTACTGAAAAGAACTGAGTTATTAAGTCATGAAAAGACATGGAGGCAACTTAAAGTCATATCACTAAGTAAAATAAGCCAATATGAAAAGGTTAACTACTGTATGATCCAAGTATATGACATTTTGAAAACGGCAATACTAGGGAGGCAAGTTTTAAAAATGAGTCGTTTCTTGGGGTGGGGAGAATAGAGGTGAATAGAAAGAGCAGAAAAGATGTCTAGGGTAGTGAAATGACTATGATCCTGTGATGGCGAATACCTGTCCCTATGCATATCAAAACCCATAGCATGTGCAACATCAAAGTGAACCCTAATGGAAACTGGACTCGGGGTGATCATGATGTGTCACTGTTAGTTCATCAGCTATAACTAATGTGCCACCCTGGTGGAGGATGTTGACTACAGAGGGGGCTGTGCTTGAGTAGGGACAGGTTATATACAGGAAATCTTTGTCGCTTCCATTCAACTTTGCTTTGAACTTAAAACTGCTCTGAAAAACTAAAGTCTGTTTTAAGAAAAGAAAGGAAAATATCCATCTGTCAAAGAGAAAGACATAAGGGAAATAAAAACATATTGAACTGACGAAAATAGAAACACAAGATGTCAGAATTTTGGGGATACAGCAAATGCAGTGATAAAAGGGAAATTATAAAACTAAATCCTATACTAGAAAGGATATTTCAAATTACAATTCTAAAATATTATCTCAAAAAAAGTTAAAAATGAGAGCAATATAAAAGCCAAAGCTACTAAAAAATGGGCAAATATTAAAAGAGCAGATTCTTTGAAAGGATTACAGAGCCCAATATAGAAATTAATGTGGTTCTTTGAATGGCTCTAGCATAGTTAACAGCAAAACAGAGAGAAGGCACCAACAGAATAATAATCTAACAATATTATCAGAACTTGGGCAAGAAATGGGAAGAGAAATCTCCTCACCCAAGAGGATATAACATACATGGCTAGATAATAGGCATGTAAAATGTTCTTTATCATTACCAGACTTGAGGGAAATGTACATTAAGACTATGATAAACAGAACCAAAACTTTAAGTGACAATACACCAAACTGGTAGGGATGTAGAGAAACTGGATCTCTTACACATTAGTGGTAGGATGTAAAATGTTACCTATTTCTATAGCCAATATAGAATATAATTTGGCATCTTATTCAAAATTAAAGAAACATTTTCTACTGTGCAATCTGCTTTCTCAGGCATTTATCCCTGAGAAATGAAAACTTATGGCCACACAAGGACATCCACAGTACTATCGCTTTGCTCCTGTGATGTTAGCTTACTGCTCACAAATCGTAGTTATAGAGGTTACACCATAGTCAGTAGATTGCTGCTTTCAGATCTTATACAGTTTTTATGTCAGCAGAGGTAATGTTCAGGTGATACAAGTATGACTAAGCAATTCTGTAGGACTGGCCACGATTCTGATTGACTAGCATTATTTGTAGCTTAAATAGTCTTCATATTTTATTGGGTATTTTCAGTATTACCCACAGAGATATTATTTTCTTTCATTTTATAAAGAAAAATCCTGACGTTAAAGAATTTCAACAACTCACCAAGTGTCATAGTCTCATTATTTTTCAGACTACTTTTTTCATTACTACATAATTACTTCCTATAAATTTGAGAATTGCACTCAACCAAGTATCTTTTCTTAGGTTAGCTCTTAATGAATTACATTATGAGATAAAGCTTTAAAACACAAAAATTACAAGAATGAGTAATATTTAGTAGCTGACAGGTAATGTCTAGTATAGTTGCCAGTATAATTAATTGCATGCACAATACATGCTACACTAAATTAACATCTAAATACTACAGTCAGTAGCCATCAGATTGCATTTATCACTCTTATTCCTGTGTGAAGGGTTTGTTACCTCATTAAAAAGTGTTGAAGTAACTAGCTGAATACTATACTGCTGTCAGCAACTGGTGGTTGAGGCTCCACATCAGAATAAATGCTAGAATAATACAGAACTGACAATATTAGCATCTTTCACCAGTATTAAAATTTGTGCTGTGCTATTAAAGATTAAGAACTAGCTAAAGGTAAATAATATATATATTTTTTGAGACAGAGTCTCACTCTGTTGCCAGATGCCAGGCTGGAGTGCAATGGCGCGATCTCGGCTCACTGCAACCTCTGCCTCCCGGGTTCAAGCAGTTCTCCTGCCTTCAGCCTCCCAAGTAGCTGGGACTACAGGTGTGCGCCACCAGGCCCAGCTAATTTTTGTATTTTTTAGAAGAGACTGGGTTTCACCATGTTGGCCAGGATGGTCTCGATCTCCTGACCTCATGATCCACCAGCCTCTGCCTCCCAAAGAAAGGTAAATAATGTTTGAAAAGAGTAATGCATTCTTCGATATTGTTAGAATAAGCGGTTGGCACAAAGTAAATGATTGATCAGTGGTACCTGGGGAGAGAGAATAGGAACAGTAGCAAGAGGTAGAGAAAGGACAGGTGCAGAGATGGGTCTATATTTAGGGAAGAGGACGTGTTGAAAAAACTGATGAGGCAGGTAGAATAAAGGGAGTGGAAGATGTTGTCAAGGCATTTGTCTAAACTGATGGGAGACAAATGTGAGGCCAGCCCCTGGGAACATCAATGCTGCAGGCAAGGAGCCTGCTGTAGGAAAGATGACAGTTCCCACCTTACACAACCTGTGAGCTAGGAAGAGTAGAAAAGATGAATCCAAAGACAAGTAAGAGACAAGAATGGGACGTCTCCAGAGATACTCACACAAAAAGCTAAGGAAAAAAGTTAAGAGAAAAGCAGAAGATATATAAGTCTAGAAGGAATCACCTTGTTAAAGACGGAGAATTCTAATCTGAATATAGAGTAGTGTTACAGGAGACTTTGCCTAGAATATCATCCAGGAACATTCATTGGAAGGTTCTAAATGTCAGACTAAGGCTCCTTATCCCTGAATTTAATAAGGAAAGGGGTATAACAGAAATATGGTAAATGTAATCCATAGTTGAAAAATTATATTGAGTTTTCGTGTTCATAGATATAATTTTTTCGCTTTGTATTTGTTATTTATCCTTTCCTCCATACTGAGATAATGCATTTATAATTTATTCTAATGCAAACATTGTTATCGTCAATTTTATATTACAGTAATAAAAATAATGCAGATTTGGAATACGTGAAAAAATATATAAATAAAACATAACTATATAAATTTATGTAAATATAAAGTCAGAGTTTTACAAAGTATTTTTAATTATTACTTAGGAAAAAACCACCAAAGGACCGCATTAGTTCCCAGGATGTTATTTTAGTGTGACCCAGATGCAGTTTATAAGGAATTAAAATTAAGAAATCCAATTCGTTTTGTGTAATTTATTTTAAATGATGCCTTTAAGTGAAAATCTGCCAATAAAATCTTAAAGTAAATTTATTCTTCTGGCCATGAGGGATATTTCAAGATAAGCAGAGAATGTGTGTTTTTGCTCCTGTGATTCCCTGAAAGTTTCTCCCCTTTGTTCCTTAATGGCATTAATGTGGTTACAGGTCTTATGTGATGAATTTCTTGGGTTTACCTTTGCTTCAATCTGTTTAGTATCTGGATTCTGAAACAAAAATTTGATTTTGCTCTTGCCATCATCTGAAGAACCTTTAAGCTGAGAAAACTTATACCTCCAAAGGACAGCCTAAAGGGAAAAAAAGAAACAATGTAAGTCAATGGAATTAATATCTGCGTTCAAATCAAGAAATAGTTCTTTTTTAAATGGTAAAGTCAATCATACAAAGTTAGTATTATGTCCCAATATTTTAAAAATAAATTAAAAATATTTATCAAATGTTAATATTTGTGATTCAATATTATCAATTAATTTTCAGAAATATTTTATCCATGAAATAATTATTAAAACATACATAAAATAAATGGCTTTTAGCATCTTGTCTTATGTGTACAGTCAATAAGAACTATATGTTTTATTGAATTGTTTTCAATAGAAGTGATAAGGCGATTTTGAATTGATCATGCTGAAGTTTTATCTTGGAGTCCAACTAATAGCCTGTCACATTAGTAGATGACATATTAGCTGGAATAAACACTTATGATAAAACTGATGTGTTGCTTTCATGAGATGTAGAATAAGACCAGAGCTGCACCTATTCAGCCATCTTGCCAGTCACCAATCCACTTTTTAAAATTTATTTTTAATTAAAAATTTTTTTTTACTTTCATTTTTTACTTTGGATTGTTCTTCGCTGTTTGTGTTCTTGTTTGGTTCCATCTCAATGGTAGTTTAATAGAAATAGCATTGAATCTATAAATTGCTTAAGGCAGTATGGCCAAGATACTGATATTGACTCTTCCTATCCATGAGCATGGAATGTTTTTTCATTTGTTTGTGTCATCTCTGATTTACTTGAGCAGTGGTTTGTAATTCTCATTGCAGACATCTTTGACCTCCTTAGTTAGATGTATCCACATGTTTATTCTTTATCCAGATGTATTCTTTGGTGTGGTGTAAGTTGGCTTTTTTTCCTTTTTTCAGACAGAGTCTTTCTCTGTCACCCAAGCTGGAATTTAGTGGAGTGATATTGGCTTACTGCAATCTCTGCCTCCCAGGTTCAAGCAATTCTCCTGCCTCAGCCTCCTGAACAGTTGGAACTACAGGCACATGCCACTATGCCCAGCTAATGTTTTGTATATATAATAGAGACAGGGTTTCACCATACTGTTAATTTTTAAAAGCTATTTGTATATTTTCATATCATCTTTTATTCAATGTCTTTTGCAAATATTTTCTTCTGGTCTGTGGTTTGCCTTCTTGTCTTCTTGACACTTAAGTCTAACTTATCAGTGGTTTCTTTTGTGAATTGTGACTTTGGTGTTGTATCTAAAAAAATCCTCGAATCCAAGGTCATCTTGATTTTCTCCTGTGTTAGCTTCTAGAAGTTGTATAGTTTTTCATTTTCATTTCATTCACTCATTTACATTTAGATCTGATCTATTTTGAATTAATCCATTTTGAATTATTTTTTGTAAAAGTTGTCAAGGCTGTAAAATTATTTGTCTTTCTGCTTGTGGATGTCCAGTTATTTTATCACCATTTGTTGAAAAGTCTATTATTTTCTCATTGTATTGTCCTTGCTTCTTTGTCAAGATATTTAATTATATTTATGTGAGTCACTATTCTCTCTGACATGATTATTTCACATTTTATGTTTGCATCATAACATTTCATGTACCCCATAAATATATACACTTACTATGTACTTACAAAAGTTAAAAATTAAAAAATTAAAAATATATATTTATGTGGGTAAATTTCTGGTCATTCTCTTCTGTTACATTGATGTATTGTCTATTTTTTCACCAAAACCACACTGTCTTGATTACTGTACCTTTATAGAAAGTCTTGAAGTGTGGTAATGCAAGTCTTATATTTTTGTTCTTGTCCTTCAATATTGTGTTGATTATTCTTGGACTTTTTCCTTTCTCTGCAGATACTTTAGAGTCGGTTTCTCTGTATTCATAAAATAACTGGCTAGGGATTAGATTGAAATTAATAGTATTGTTCAAGTTCTCTATTTCCTTATTGGTCTTCTGTCTGGTTGTGAATTCTATCCTTTATGTGATGTATAAAACCTTTCAATTATTATTATAGAGTAACAATTTCTCCCTCCAACTCTGTCAATATTTACTTTATCTATTTGGAGGCTTTGATGTTTGATGAATATATATTATGTTTACTATTGTTGTATCTGACTGACAAATTAACACTTTCATCAACATATAATACTCTTCTTTTTTTTTTTTTTTTTTTTTTTTTTTGAGACGGAGTTTCGCTCTTGTTACCCAGGCTGGAGTGCAATGGCGCGATCTTGGCTCACCGCAAACTCCGCCTCCTGGGTTCAGGCAATTCTCCTGCCTCAACCTCCTGAGTAGCTGGGACTACAGACACACGCCACCATGCCCAGTTAATGTTTTGTATTTTTAGTAGAGGCGAGGTTTCACCATGTTGACCAGGATGGTCTCAATCTCTTGACCTCGTGATCCACCCGCCTCTGCCTCCCAAAGTGCTGGGATTACAGGCTTGAGCCACCGCGCCCGGCTCTCTTCCTTTTTTAATAATGACTCGAAGTCTATGTTTTTCTGATATTAGTTTATACGCTTAGTTGTTTTTGGCTACTAATTACGTGGAGTATATTTTCTCATCATTTCTCTTTTAAATGATCCATATCTTTAGATCTAATGTTAGCCTCTTGTGTACAGCATATAGTTAGATCATTTGTATATATATGGAGAGAGAGAGAGAAAGAAAGATAGAGAGTTGCACTATTTAAAATAAAAGCTTCTGGAAACAACATATTTCCCAAATCCATTCAAATCAAATACTAATTAAAAGTTTCATATGTAAACAATATACAATAAAACATTAAAAATCATAGATGCATCAATAATCATGGGAGAATTTTCAAGTAATATGTAATGATATTGAGGCAGAATAAATTAATATAGAATTTCATTTGAAAAATTTATTCAACAGACTTTAATGAAGTGACTGACTGTTATATATTGAATATTTTGCTAGATAATTGGAATGAAAAAGATACTGTCACTAACCTGAAGACATCAATCTCTGTGTAAATAAATGTCTACACTTTGTTTTTTACTACATTAAACTATGCAAATTATTGAAAAGCAATATCCAGTCATTTCAATTGATCTTAAATATTTCTTTTAAATATATTTTATTTAATATCCCTTTCACAATAAAATTACTTGGGGCAATTAAACCTTTGAAAAAAAGATAAAACAATTAAGTTGTTCATCACATAACTTCCTTTAAAGCAAACCTCTAATATTTTAAAAAGTAATTTAAGCAATCTAAATTATTGAAAAATTGCATGGAATTATACAAGTGAATATTTAGTAATTCTGGAAATATACGAAGCCCTAGACATGACAGTAATAAGAAATTACAAATTTATTTAGTAAAATTAATGCATATTCACCAATATAAAAAGAAAAATAATAGTCATAATGGTATATAGTAGAAAATATTATAAAGTGTAAGCAAAACTCTAAACACCTGATAAAGAAAAAACAAATAACTCCCTAAAAAATAGACACAGGACATGAACATGCATTTCTTAAAAGAAGTCATACAGGCAGCCAACAAACATGAAAAAATGCTCAGCATCACTAATTGTCAGAGAAATGCAAATCAAAACCACAAAGAGAGATTTCACATAATTCAAAATGGCTATGATCAAAATGACGAAAACAGCAGATTCTGGCAAGGCTGAAGAAAAAAGGAAGTGTCATAGTCTGTTGGTGGGAATGTAAATTCACACAGCCACTGTGGAAAGCGGTCTGATGGTTTATCAAAGACAAAGATCTAGAAATAGAAATACCATTTGACTCAACAATCCCATTACTGGGTATATGCCCAAGGGATTATAAATCATTCTCTTATAAAGACACATGCACACATATGTTTACTGTGGCACTGTTTACAATAGCAGAGACTTGAAACCAGACCCAAATGCCTGCCAGTGATAGACTGGATAAAGAAAATGTGGCAAATATACACCATGGAATACTATGCAGTCACAAAAAGGATGAGTTCATGTTTTTTGCAGGGGCATGGGTAAAGCTGGAAACCATCATTTTCAGCAAACTGACACAAGAACAGAGAACCAAACACCACACATTCTTACTCATAAGTGGGAGTTGAACAATGAAAACACATAGGACACAGGGAGGGAAACATCACACACTGGGGCCTGTCAGGGGTGGGGTGCTAGGGGAGGGATAGCGTTAGGAGAAATATCTAATGTAGATGATGGGGTGATGGATGTAGCAAACCACCATGACACGTATATACCTATGTAACAAACCTGCACGTTCTGCACATGTACCCCAAAACTTAAAGTATAATAATAATAATAAAGAAGTTAAAAAAGAGCTGCCATTCAGCCCCAAAATCCCATTACTGGTTATAGAGCTAAAGGAACATAAATCATTCTGTCAAAAATATACACGCGTTCATGTGATCATTGCAGCACTATTCACAATTGCAAAGACATGGAATCCCCAAGTGCCTATCAATGGTATATTGGACAAAGAAAATGTGGTGCCTATACACTATGGAATACTACATGGTCATAAAAGATAATAAAATCTTGCTCTTTGCAGCAGCATGGATGGAGATGAAGGCCATAATCTAAGCAAATTCAATGCAAAACAGAAAAACAAATTCCAATATTCTCATTTATGAGGGGAACTAAACATTGAGCACAAATGGACATACATATGGGAACAAAAAGCAGTGAAGAATACTACAAGGGTGGGAGGGTGTTGTGGGTTGAAAAACTATCAGGTACTTTGCTCACAGCCTGAGTGACAAGGGTCCGTACCCTGAGCCTCAGCATCACGCAAAATTCCCACATAACAACCTGCACATTTATCTCCTGTATCGAAAATAAAAGTTAAAAAAATAAAAACCCATGCACAAAGTACAAAAAAAATTGCAGAGAGATGTAATTTTTTAAAGAGGAAAAGCAATTATTTTGTTAACAACCATAGGAGAACCTGTTTAGCCTCACTAGAAATCAAGAAGACTGCATTGATATTACAGAGGCTGTTTTTTTCAATCATTATATTAGTAATGCTCACTGAAAATTATAT